TGGTTCTGTTGTATGATTGGACTTGTCCGCAGGTCTGACCCTACAGTATATACAATAGATTCCTCCTAGCGCAACTGCTGCGACTCCAGCGTAAATTAGCGTATTTACTGAGTCACCTTGATCGAGGTTATTTTCAGCGCTACGTCTTTCTTCGGTCTTCCTTGCTTTTGCTTCCCTAGATATTGCAGCCAGTCTTTTACCTGATTCTACCCTTCTAGGATCCTTCGGTTTGTGGGTCTTTTCTGCTTTCGTTATTGTCAGTTCATTCATACTTTATTTAATATAAAATATTAAATTTTAGTCAAATTCTAGCCAGAGCTAGTTGCAGCATAACCTTAACTAGATTTCAACATAACCTTGACTAGGTTTAGCATCTAGTTAAAGTCTAGTTAAATTCTAGATTGCAGCATAACCTTAAATAGATTTCAACATCAGCTTAGGATAGTTTCGAAACCAACTTAAAGAAATAATTTTCCATATAATAAAAAAGTATGGATTTTCCTACGACAGTACCGGAAGAGATTCGTCAGTTGGAACCGCCTCCCTCAAATTGGTCGGCTCTCTTTAGGCAAGCGGAAAAGGAGTACCTGGATCTTCTTGCTTTAGAGGAACCTGTGAAGTTTCCGAACAAGCACTTCTGCTCCGAGGGACACAGGCATCATCTCGTCTCCACAGACGGGTTTCGAACGTGTTGGTCGTGTGGATTAGTTGTTGGTAGGGTTTGCTATCCCTGTTACGACTACGATTGTAGGGACAGTGTGATTACGAGAAGTCGGGGAATAGACGTTCATGGTAGGTTCGAATCATTCTGTACCAGGAGGAAAATAACATATTCCGATCTATCAGCACATGAAAGACGTTTGATAGCAGAGAACATTCGGAAAGTTTATAAGGCAGAAAAACCTGAAAGAAAGAGACTTCCTAATCTTAATATTCTAACTTACCAGATATGTAAAAGACGTAACATAAAGTTGAACGAGAAGCTTCTTAATATTCCGGTAAGCAAAGCTTCACACGACCGGTGTAAAAAAGTATTCCAAACACTGGGCTGGGAATACATTGACCAGTCATCGTCCCTGTAGGCAGTGATGTATACCTAACGCCCAACGGTATATAGTTCTGTGACGTGGGGGATTGGTAAAAAAAAGAAAAAGAATTTTAATGCTTACTTAACATTAAAATTGGAATAGTAATTTAAGGGTGATGATGATGAGAAGAATTTCAACCGTTATCGGGATGAGTAGGCAGAACACCAGACTCGTCCATATTAGTCTCCGTAGTATTCGGGTTCCGATCATTTGTTTTATCATACTTTTTTACCGTTGTACTAACGTATCCGATTTGGGTGTGAGCATTGATAGTGAGATCACCACGTTCTATACCAATTCCGAAACTGAACATTTTCCTTTTCCGATGGTTCTTGTCGTACTTCACGCCGTTTGTGGTCTCAGGTTTTGTGTGTAAACATCCCATTTTATATATTCTTCTTTTTATTTTTCGCTGACTTTGGTTTTTCTTCCTTCACAGTTTTTGTTGACGGTCCCGCTTTACCTTCCTTACACGACGTAACGTACTTGATGTTGGTTGTCTTGGATTTAACGTAACCGAGATTCAGTCCGCCTTTACTGAGTTTTATATCGACGTTGACGGTTTTGTCCCTTTTTAAATTTTCCTTAACTTTGATTCTATCGCTACTCATTTCTTTTATTAATACGAAAAGAAAATCCATCTCGAAGTGATAACCCCCACCAACAAACATAGTGCCGAGAAGGTAAATCAGATTGTTTGATACTTTCGGTAGTATGCTTACCGTGTCAGGATGTGGTATGGGGTTCCGGTCTTTGTGTGGTATAGGGTTTTGGACTTTTACATCCGGACTTTTCTTTATCTCCTTAGGCTTTGAGTAGTTAACATTCGTATTACTACCAAACCTCATGTCCTTTGTTGCTAGTGTCAGTGTATTGTTGTATCCTGCTATCTTTTCCTTAAGTATAATCATATTGGATGGTATTAATATTAATCCGGGTGATATTGCCATGTTAAGTACAACGTTAGTATCCTTTATTGCTTTCCTCATATTGGAGATGGATACCGATACATCGTCTTGCGCAACGGTGTCTTTAAAAAGTTTGTGGAATACGTCCTGATTCTGCAGGGACTTCGCTCCTTTACCAACGATAGACCAACGTGTCTGTGCTTGCGCACCTAATACGCAATAGACATAACTTTCGACAGATTGTTGAAGTAACTTTAGTCCTAAAGGTGTCAACCCATCTGATTTCTTAGCTATGAATTGGGTGTAGTCTGTATCGCTGTTGTTAGTGACACCGTCTACTTCCTGATAGCTAATTCCCATTACACCACCGGTTTGGTAGTATGAATACTTGCAGTTTCTAACCCTACTCTTATCCGGAAGTCTGCTGTGCCAAAGACCTATTTCCGTTTGCTCCCGATGAAATTTGTTAACCCACGTTTTCTGTGTGGGCATGTTTCTTTGCAGGGATTTTAACAAGTCCTTCGTTACGTATTTTGTCATTTTGCTCGGATTTCTGAGGAACCTGCGCATGTGGTAGTATAGATGATACCTAGCAATACTTGTGATTACCCTCGAGGTTCCTTTGCTTTCCAGTAGGTGTTCCATACTTATCCCACTTATACGTGATAATGTAAGCAGCCAGTATCGATGCAAAATAGGGGTCTTTTATATAATTGAACTTTACCCTGGTAATATCCTTTGCGGTACCAGTCCATTTTGTGTCGAGATCGGCAAAGTTGGATACAAAACTGTTGTGAGAGGTGTTGGTGCAGTCGCAAACGTAAATTTCGAACCTATTTATTTTGTATGGAAGCGGATCCCTGTTATGTCTAAAGACCCGAACGGTTCCGTAATTACTCCATATTCTCTCCCATTGGTAAAGGTACCACGTCCACTTTTTATTTCCCCTGAATGTTCTGGATGTGATGTCGTAACTTTCCAGGTCTGTAACCTTAAAGAATATGTCCCTGGATTCTAAAGTTCCATCCTTTGCAAATGTAACCTGAAAGTCAAATTTAGACATTTCCGCACCCGGATATTTTTTCCTAAAATCTTCCTTCATCTTCCGTATTTCTACGGATATTGCCGCCTTTACTTTTTCATAGTTCTGTCCGTAATATTCACGGAATATGTTTCCACTGGTACTCATTTTATTTAATCCATGTAATAAAAATGAAGAAGTTAACAGTGTTTATCGAGAATGGAACTACCGAGTTTTTCCCGGACGAGTGTATTACGACGAACGCAGAGTCAGAATTAATCCTAAAGAATGCATCCATCTACTGGGCTTATAAAAACGTACGTTTGAATGTTAACGATAATATTACCTATGGACAAAAGAAGATTACCTTCGAAGATGGCTACTGGACCTTTGATGCAATAAAGAAAAAACTGAAGATAGATGGAATAACAATAGAACGTAACATACACAACAATACCTGCAAAATCTATCCGACAACCAAGGTGAACGTACATTTAAATGAATTTGCTCCGCTAATTGGATTTCCAGAAACAGAGATCCTAACCTCTGAAGTGTGGGAGAGATCTCCCTATCCTATAGATATTAATCACGGTCTTAAATACGTTACTATCGACTGTGATGTTGTTAATACATCCCTAAATTTCGACGTAAACGGTAAAGGAAGTTTTACAGTGAGCACGTTACCCGTGCCGTCTGACCAGCATCTGAACGGAACAACAACATTCTTCAGGGATATTGGAAGTAGGGTTTATGTTAATAATGGTTCCCATAACAGATTCACCTTCAGTATCAATACGAACATTGGTGATAAGGTTGATATGTCTGCACTTCTTGAATTTTATATCACATGAATAAAAATGGAAGATAAACACTTTGTTACCGAGCAAGGGTTAAGAGATATCTACTACAATCCAGGCACCGGCTATCAATCCGCAGAGAAGCTCTATCAGAAGGCAAAGGAGGAGGAGGGACTGAACGTTAGTCGAAAAACGGTGAAAGACTGGTTGAAGACTCAGGATACCTATACAAGGTATAAACCTATCGTTAGAAAACATAAATTTCAGAGAACATTCGTCAAGGACCTAGCGGATCAGGTGCAGATGGATCTAGTGGATATGGGAAAATATAAAAATCAGAACAAAGGATATTACTGGATACTGACAGCTGAAGTCGAAGAAGTCGAAGCGGCGGAGGAAGAAACAAGTTTCATTGACAATGATGATGAGAGACGGGATGAAAGTATATTAATTCCCATCGGATTCAATCCGGACGTTGATGGATCAAGACCCAGCGGTTCCACACCAAACATCAGACGGGATGCTGGGGTAATGAAACGGGCCTATACGTTGGATAAAAAGGATTTCCTCAAAAGGGAACTAGGAGTAAATATCAATAAGGGAGACGGTCCATCTTCCACCATCATCTTTGACAAAATGAAGCTAACCGTAAATAAGGCCGGAACAAAAATTAACGGTGCTACATTCAAAGATGTCAAGATCATTATCTCAAAAAATGGTAAAATGATATACTCCACGGATAAGAACAAGGAATCCGTCGTCAATGAATACAAAGAACTGATCAGGAAAGCTAAAATAGAGCATTCAAAAACACCTGCAGCCTTGGTAGAGGAACAACTCGAACGACAGAATTTAATGCTTCTCAAGAACTTGTGGATAATGTATTGGAAAATATCGTCGAAAGAATGGATGACGAACTGTCTAACCAAAACCATTGGAAAGAACTAGCTGAAACTGAACGAACTGCAGGACGTGAACAAAAGGCTCTCCTGTACGAAGCAATGGCAGACATGGCAGAACTGAAAGCGGATGATATAAGGTTAAGATCAAACGAACGACCAAAAGGACCGAAAGCCCTATCCATCGTGGAAGAGGAGGTGGAAGTGAACGATCTTACGAGGTTCGAAAGATTTAAGAAATGGGCAAAAGAAAATATAGCTGGAATATCAGCCGTAGCAATATCGGTAGCGGGTATCATCACCACGATTATTATGGGAGCTAGAAGTGCAGCAAAAAAGGGAGCGAGAGCAACGAGCAAGTTTGCAAAAGCAGTGGCAAACCTAGCTGGGAAGGTCGGACCTGTACTAGCATCCGTACTAAACCTCATCGCCAAGGTTTTAGGATGGGGAGCAAAGGGTATTGCATTCCTAGCGAAAAATCTTTGGATTTTAGCACTGGCATTAACCTACTTCCTGTACAATGAATACAAAAAGAAAAAAAATAAATACCATATAATAAACAATGGGAGATAGAAAAGACTTTATGAACGAAGCCTTTGATGCTGGACTTATTACACTCGGAGAAGTCGCTGCGTCTGTGGTAAGCAAAAAATTTGCAGGAGATAGTCTTGGAGTACCAAGTAGTCCAAAGGGAATTTTAAAACTAGCCATAGCTCTCGGAGCTGGTGCGGTTGGAGTTCACTATCTACAGTTCAAAAAACTATTGCCGGACGATCCATTTAAGTAAACAACTATACAATAAAAGAAAATGACGAGCGTCGTAGTAGGAGGATTATTCAACGCCGTAGCATTCGCAGGAGCCGGATTCCTGTTCAGCAAATTAAACCATAGCGGATACGAAGCGTTGGAAACATTAGCCAAAACCAAAGAAAAATGGTATGAAAGTCAAGTGGAAAAAAGAACAGGATTGCAATACTGAGACAAGAACTAGCCGATGCTAAATCGGATATGGAAGTGACAAACCGTGCTCTTGACTCCCTACGAAAAGCGCAGGAGGAATTAATTCTGGACAAAGAGCCAACAATTCATGATTATTATAAACCATCAAGCGAAATGGAAGAATACCAACAGATTACGATCGGAATACTAGGTCTGGGGTCTGGATTCATAATTACAAAAATATTATAGAAAAACAAAACCATTTATCTACATAAATAAGGTCATGCGCCCGGTCTGGATTTACTGTTTTTTCCAAATCTAAAAGATTTGGAAAAGGGAAATCACCCAGGTATATATAAACTTCCATATATGGACATTGTAACGTCTTATACGAATACCACACATATACAATAAATAAAATGAATCCGAATAGGTCAAGTCCTTTATTAGATACGGATATTCCCATCGGATTACCTCCAGCCCTAACACCGACCAGATACGAACCACCATCACCTCTACCAGCAACAACGACAACAGAAACACATACATGGCGCGAATGGCGTGATTGGCTAGTTAAAGACGTGCCGAAAGACATAAAAAGGAAAGTCACCGACGCATACAGAATATTTAAAAACAAGGTTTTAAGTCTATACGGTAAGCAACCAACGGTAAAATCAAAGTTAGTCTCTAGTGCTATCAAAAAGAATACCGCTAAATGGATGATACCCGGTGATGAATTCAAAGATCTTTGGGTTTTCTTAAACAGCGCAAGACCTGAAGTGGAAAAGATCGTTAACGATGTTGAGGGTACAAAAAAGGTGTACCTGGTACTAAAATGTGAAATGGTAAAAGAAGATCCAAAAACCGGACAGAAAACATATACAATATTCCACGGAAGAAGTAAAACTCACGCAATTACAGTTAACATCAGCGAAGAGTATGGAAAAATGCGTGAAAAAATGTTAGAAAGTCTTGCAAAATTCCAGAAGAACAGCAGTAACTGGAGATTACACAAGATGGAAGAATTAAAAGTGTCTGTCACAAAGTATGAACCGCTGAAAGGGAAGGGATATACAACACCGATCCCAGAAAAACTGAAAGGAAAGAAAACCATCATTAACATAAAAAATGAGGACGACCAGTGTTTTAAATGGGCAGTAACTAGAGCTTTGAATCATGTGAAACGTGACGCATGTAGAGTTACAAAGATCTTAAAACTACAGACTGAGAAATATAATTGGGAAGACATAAAGTTCCCAACAAAGGTTGTGGATATTCACAAATGGAAAGAGAAAAATAATATAAACATTAACGTATTCGGATACGATGAGGAAACAAAAAAATTATATACGTTAAAACTCGGAGAGCAAGAAAATCCAACGGAAACAGTAAACCTATATCTACACGATGACAGTCACTACTGCGTAATCAAAGATCTAAGTCGTCTCATATCCTCCCAACTTAGCAAGGGTAAACGGCGGAAATTCATCTGCTTACGATGTATAAATGCATTCGGGACGGAGGAGCTTCTAGCTGAACATATAATACTATGCGAGAACCATAAACTACAACACCATTACTATCCATCCGAAGGTAGCACAACATTCTTCTTTGAACGGTTACATGAAGTACCATTCATGGTAAACGCAGATTTCGAATGTTTTCTAGAACCAATGGATCATGTGGAAGGTAATCCAACTAAGTCATACACAATTCAATATCAAAAGCATAAGCCTAGCGGATTCTCATACACGATAAAATGTATGGACGAGAGCGTTTACAAAACAAAATTTGTAACGTATACGGCACAAAATAAGAATGAGGATATCGGAAAGATGTTCGTTGACTCATTGGAGGAAAATTTGAAACCAGTGTACGAAATTCTTAAAAAAGTAATACCAATAAGCATGACGGAAAAGGATGAAAAGAACTACACTGAATCTGACAACTGTTATGCATGTGGTATACAATTCGGAACCGTCAGAATAAACGAGTGGAATGGTAAGGAAGAAAAAGTAATTAAGTGTAGGGATCACTGTCATATCACTGGCAAATACAGAGGAGCCGCATGCGACAAATGTAACCTACGAATGAGGACACCAAAATTCGTGCCAATACTTTTTCACAATCTGGAAAGTTATGATGCACACTTGTTTGTAAAAAGCATGGGATTAAGTGAGGGTGATATTAATTGCATTCCAAAAACAGACGAAAAGTATATATCATTTAGTAAGAAAATTCCCATGGAAACCATCGAACTGGAAGATGGAGAGAAAACACTGTGTCTGGAAATGCGGTTCCTGGACTCATACAAGTTCACGCTCGCATCACTCGACTCTCTCGCCAGCACACTCGGTGAGGATGATTTTAAAACATTAGAAAGCCAAATGGAACACTCAGGAATAGAATTACTAAAAAGAAAAGGGGTGTTCCCGTACGAATTTATGACGGATTATGACAAATTACAATATGATAGGTTACCCAGTAAGGAAGAATTTTACAGCAAATTAAATAACACAGACATAAGCGATGAGGACTATGAACATGCACAAAAGGTTTGGAAGGCGTTCGACTGTAAAACGATGCGTGACTACCATGACCTCTACCTCAAGACAGACGTGCTGCTTCTCACAGACATCATGTGTAAGTTTAGGAAGATGTGTATGGAAAATTATGGATTAGATTCATTACATTATTACACAGCGCCAGGACTCGCTTGGGATGCGGCGCTAAAAATCACAAAAATAGAACTAGAACTCATTCACGACCCAAACATGTACCTCATGATAGAGAAAGGAATACGAGGTGGGGTCAGCACGATAACGAAAAGATATGCGAAGGCAAATAACAAATATATGAAAAATTATGATCCGAAAAAGGATAACATATACATACCATACTTAGACGCTAATAACTTATATGGATGGGCAATGAGTCAACCATTGCCAGTCAGAAACTTCAAATGGATGACAGGGACTGAACTAAGCAACTGGGAAAACATTCCATGCATACTGGAAGTGGACTTGGAATATCCAGGAAATCTACATGACATCCATAACGAATATCCACTCGCGCCAGAAAGCATAGAAGTAAATAAAGTCAAGAAATTAATCCCAAACTTAAACGATAAGAAAAACTATGTATTGCATTATAGAAACCTGGAACTATATCTAGAATTAGGGCTAAAACTAACAAAAGTACATCGCGGGGTAAAGTTTGAAAAAAGTCCATAGTTAGCAAAATACATACAACTTAACACAAATCTTAGAACAAAAGGTGCAACAGACTTTGAAAAGAACTTCTTTAAACTAATGAATAACTCAGTATTTGGAAAGACCATGGAGAACGTTCGGAACAGAGTAAACGTTAAACTAGTGACCACTGAGGAGCAGTTAAACTCGCTCGCGAAAAAGTCATACTTCAAAAGCGTAAACATTTTCACAGAAAACCTAATCGCTGTTCACATGGAAAAAACCACTGTCAAACTTGTAAAACCTATATACCTAGGAATGAGCATCTTAGACCTGAGCAAAACACTCATGTATAACTTCCACTATAACTACATCAAACCAAAATACGGTAATAATGCAAACCTACTCTTCACAGACACAGACAGTTTATGCTATGAAATTAAAACGGAAGATTTTTACAACGATATCACACCGGATGTTGAAAAATGGTTCGATACAAGCAATTACGACAAGAACCACAGCAGTGGAATACCGGTCGGAAAGAACAAAAAAGTTGTAGGCATGATGAAAGATGAATGTGGAGGAGAACAAATCTCAGAGTTCGTTGGACTCCGTAGTAAGCTGTATGCCTATAAAATGGACGAAGGAGAAGAGGAAAAGAAATGTAAAGGTGTGAAAAAGTGTGTAGTCAAAAACGAAATAGTATTCGAGGATTATAAAAATTGTCTATTCTCAGGAACAGAACAATATAGAACAATGAATACATTCCGAAGCCGACAGCATGAAATAACAACGGAAAGAATTAACAAAACGGCACTTTCGGCAAACGACGATAAGCGTGTTATACTATCCGACGGAATACACACTTTAGCAATAGGACACTACCAGCTCTCTCGGAAGGATTAAAAAAAAATCGTTTCAAAAGTCGTGATGACGTCATCATTGAATTCTTTGGAAAATGATCACGTGATTGATGACGTCATAATTGAATTTCGGAAAAGAAATGCGTTAGAGGGACGGAGCGAGCCTGAATTAATTAATGACGTCATTCATTAATCGACATTTACTGAACCGGTTTAAACCGGTTTAGAAAGCAGATCAAAAATGCGCTAGAACCCGTAAATATACACTACTCACAGCCATGCAACTTTCGTAGCAACATGTTTAGCAAGAAAACGTTTAAGTTTTGTTTCTGTTTTGTTGATGAAATTACATGCTTGCAATTGTATATAGATACAATGAAACCAAATATTAATTTTTGAATCATTGTAGTTTTGAAAATTTAGCCATTTATTTGACATTGTTTTGACAGTTGCTAAAAATAGTGCAACTGTGCCAGCCCCGGTCAGTGAATGTTTATATGCAGAAATTTTCATCCCGGTATAGCGAGATCTCGGGAACTGGGCCAGTCCAGTCGTCCATATAAACGCAACTTGGTTTTTACTATAAAAATAACTAAATGGCGAGATATCGCTAAGGCTAAGTGGGCCAGCCAGGCTTCCTTATAATCAGCATTTGAAAATGGGTCACATATACCTTGCGTTTGTTTTCCTTTCATTTCTTTAGATTTATTGCCATCCAAAGTAGTACCTTGATTCCTTGGAACTTTAATAATGAAAAAATATAATCTATTGGAGAACGAAGCTTATAGTCTACTAGCTTTTCAGAGGATTGACCAGGAATTGTGCACAGCACCCAGGTACGAGGAAGGGTGTATAAAAAAGGAATCCTCGATTCAAGTGTAAAATATTTATGTTTACATTAATTTTGAAGCTTAATCATTTAGCTTTCTTAAGGTGGCTTGCCTTTTAAATTTGAACGATTGGTTCGGGAATATTATTTCGAATGACTGAGATTAGAGGATTAAAAATGTTAGGATGCAATAACAAATCGATACTTAATAAAAAAATCAACTTATTAAATTATGTAAAAAAAAATGTAAACAAATGCCAAAATGTAAACAAATGCCAAAAGTTCGGACAAACTTAATTGTTCGAACCAATCGAACATACAATCAATTGTATGTTCGAACAAAAGCTTGTCCGAACTTTTGGCATTTGTTTACATTTTTTGGTCATGTGTTGCTACACGTGTCTTTAAGGTCGAAAAGGTGAATTGGCAATGCTTCATCAAAACCAAGTACCTACGCCTTTTTATGCAATAGCTTTAATTCATTTACTTATAATGCCATTATTACTTGCACTTAAGACACAAATGAATCATTGATCGAACTGAGACAAAAAGGAAAGCTTTAAGAAAAAATAGGTACGCAGTGCGTACATGTTGCATGCCATTTGAAACTTATCATGCGCTATAGCGCTTACATAAAGCTTTGGTACAACTGGCGTGAAACTTAAAATATTGATCATTCAATAAGTTTAAAATATCAATATATTTATTGAAAAATACTATGTCAAAATAAGAAAACTTAAGATTCTCACATGAATTTGCCTACGGTGTAGACACCACCGTAGTTTAGTTGCAAGCGACAGTAATAATAACAATAACAAGGTGGGTCAAGGTTTTATCAAATTTATAACTAAATAACGTTATTTCCTTTAGATTTAGCTTTATTGTAACTTTTTAAAGGTATAAACAAAATGTGAAAACGGTGAATTGCTATAATAGATTGAAAATGATTTATTATGTATCACTTTGACGTTTGAGTGATTGAAATAAGTTAATTTACACTATAGTATATCGAATGTCATGTTGAATGTCATGTTGAATCTTATGCGTACTTCACAATGGTTGCTATTTCGTTGTATTAAATTTCAATAGTATGTATAAATACTATTTATAATTCAAATTTTGTTTGATATTTATATATCATGTTATTTACAAAATGTGCTGTAGTTTTGAAGCTTTGCACACAATATAATCAGAGCGAGCACAATGGCCCCGTTTCAGTTTGAGTATATAAAAATCGAGTACTTTGCTAGCGTTCGTGACTTTCACGATATATAAATATAAATGCCTGATCGCACGATCATTGATAAATATAAATCAGTGCGAGCACAACGGCTCCAAAATAACAACAAATAACAGAATATAAGATAAGTTAAAAACAGTAAAGCTTTACCTACCTTGATTTATTTTTCTAAAGCGCTCAATTATGTAAATTTTCGGCAAATAATCAATACTTATTTGCGTTTCCTCGACGAAAACCCGGCATGAAAATGCTCGTCGGAAAAACTCGGTATTTGTTGTATTTTACGAATCTGCCATGTGACTGGTACGCTCACCGCTCATCGACCGCGACATGAAATTTAGAGCTATATGAAAGTTGCATATATGGCATGCAACAAAAACTAAAATGATTTTACAAGATCAAGGACAGGAGGACTCGCTTTCTGAAATTATATTAAGCATAAAAGATGGGTTCCTCGTTTTTATACACCCTGTACAATTATTGTTACAGCCTAACCACTCCAGTGTTTCGCTTTAACGTTTGGTTGTTAACGCTGTAATGCTGTAGCTTCTTTAAACTAGTGGCCATGTTTTGTCTTTGCCTTTCCAAGTAACTTTGTCAGCTTGTGCATGACCAGTTGAATTTGTCTTCTGTGCGTTTTGCTGGAAGTGAAGTATTAGCCTTTTCCAAAAAGAGATCACAGTGCATTCTGGGACTGTTTGGAGGGACAAAAAATATGGTGACAGGCATCAAATATGTGAAAGAGTAGAAGTATCTACTATCAAAATAATCAAATATCAACTTTTGCACGACCAAAAAATGAACTATCACCTTTTTACATTAAACATCTAATTTAAATGTGTGCTGCCATATTTCTTGTCTCTCCAAATAAGGGATTCACTCGACTAGACCCAGGACTTTGGGAAATGGATAATTGTCATGTCTGTTGATACATAGAGTTTGTGTTTGCCCAATATATTTTTCGGAACAGTCTCGGCAGGGAAATTGCATGTAAATGGCATTACGTCTCCCAGTTGTAGGTGCTTTATCTTTGTGGTTGATTTAGATCTGAGTTTGCTGCTTTGTGTGCAATGTCAATGTTGCAGTAATTCCGATGTACTGTGTATGTAATTATCTCTTGATTATGTTAAGGTAACGTAATGATAATGTAATTATTTCTCTTTCTTGATTTTGTTTTTCAATTATACAGTGCATGTTATAAAGTTCGTGTGTTTCAGTACGTCTAAAATAACACAATATAAAAACTTTTCAAATGGATTCACTGTACACTGTGCGAGGTTCAGACACGGCACACCGAACATCAAAACGCTATCAACGGACATGTCCATACTTCACTTTCAGGAAACATGCAGACGACAGCGGACATAAATTCAACTGGTCACAAACTACAACAAAGCATCCTAGTTTAAAGAAACGCATGCAATACAGCGGTAACAACCAAATTTAAAACGTTGACATATTTATACTTGACAGTCTAGTACTTACAACTAAAACCCTCACACAATAATGCTAGCCAATAACGCTAAACTCCCTATATCATTCCTTTCACCACTTCCACAACACAACCCCCACCATCCAATCAAAATGAACCTAATATGCATTTGCGTCCCACTACAACCAATCAGATGGAAACTATCGACAACTTATTTATAAATTTGGACATGTTTTATATACCAAAATCTTGTCTGGATCAATAGCAGTTATATTTTCTGCCATTTAAAAACGTCCCACTGCAACCAATCAGATGGAAACTATTCAAAATGCCTAACCAATCAGACGCTCCGACAGATTACAATTAACTACGTAGAAGGCAGCGCGAACATTCAAATTAACACTAGCAGGGCCGGTTGTCCAAAAGCTTAATCGATAAAAATCTGCGAAAAAAAAATCTAAAAATCTGCGACGCTTCCAATTATTTGACCAAATTTAGTAATATTATCAGCCAAATACGTTTTGTTTTTCCCTGAAGATTTAACCGAAAATAGCAACATTGATATAGGGGGAGGGACGAGCGTGCCTAAGATTTGATATAAAGTAGACATCTGCCTATATGACGGAAAATAAGACAACAGAACAAGAAAGAATAAGATTAAATAAGTTTTGCCAAAATATTTTGTCCAAGATTGTAGATCATCGAAAGTGACGATGAAGCAGTCTTCTTTAGCCGAATCTGCAAAGTCGAAGGACCAATCAAATGAAATCCAAACAGTGATGCAAGTCGAAATATCAAAGTTTTTAAATCTGATGTGTTTAAGACTCTTAAAGGAATCCATTAGGGGAGTTATATCGGACATGGTTCAATGCGCAGTGAAGCCTCTTCAGGATAAGATTGTTGAATTAGAGGCTAAAGTCGAAAAACTTCAGGAGAAGACTAACGATAACGAACAGTATTCGAGGAGATATAGTATCCGCATTTATGGACCAAGTCAGGTGCCAGGGCTAGTGCAGGAGGGTGTCGATGAAGTCGTGCCTAAAGAAAATTGTGCTCAAACAGTAATTGACTTTTGCAAAGCTGAATTGGGGTTAATTGTGAAATGTGAGGAAATCGATCGCGCTCATAGAATTGGTCGACCTAGTGATGCCGGGCAAAGGGCGATTATAGTGAAATTTGTTGGTTATGAATCTAAACTAAAAGTCAGGAGAGCAAAACGACGTCTTAGAGGAAAAAGAATATTTATCAATGAAGACCTTGCATGGCTAAATCAAAAGCTTCTCAAGCAAGTTCGTGAAGTGTGTAAAGGCTCGGCATTAGTTTATACTGCTGACGGTTATGTTATGGTTAGATCTAAAAATGGTGAACCACCAGTTAGAGTAAGGAATGTTGAAGACTTGGACATATTTGGCTTTGATTGATATGTTGGCCTGTCACCATAAATAGTTCTATAAAAACGGTGACTTCTTTACTTTTTTATCACAGCTTGTTGTGTGCTCTGTGTGTATTATATTTTCCTTATATTAAGTATTTATATTCTTTCTTGATTGCCATATTGCCCAGTTTAATTACTGTTTTATTTACTAGTTCAAAATGTATTGCAAAGTGTTTTAACTTCTATAGTGATGTTCCAGCATTCGGCACAATTGGAGGTGAGTGTTTTAGTCTATTGTGTTATATTTAATGGGGGTTAATTTGCAATCGTACAGAGCAGCAATTGGACTCTTTGCAGCTAGTTTTGTAATTACCACTACTTCCGACATTTACAACTTATTTTTATGTCCGAAAATGTTCATATTCTCAATTTTAATTATCAAGTTGCTTCTGTTGATTTCTGGTAATGTACATCCCAACCCTGGTCCCAAACAACACAGCCTTATTTTGGCACATTTAAACGCTCGTAGTCTTTGCATCCCAGATAAATTTAGTGAAATATCAGCTTTGGTATTACTTCATAAATTTGATGTTTTTGGGTGTCTGAAACTTGGTTAAATGCAAATATTTCCAATGATCAATTAGTTATTTCCGGATATAACAGTCCCTTGAGGAATGACAGAGTTGGTTATAGAGGTGGTGGTGTGGCAATGTATATTGCTAATCACCTACCTTACGCAAGAAAGTGTGAATACGAACACACTGGTATTGAATTGCTATGGGTGGAGATTACGTTGAATAAATCTAAAGTTCTTTGCAGCATTTGTTATAGACCTCCCAATTCTAATGTTTCTCAAACCGATGAATTTTTTCGTTTATTGCAATGTAGTATGGACCAAATTGGAAGTAATAATTATACAGCTATTGTTCTTATGGGTGATTTTAATGCTCAGTATTCTGATAATTCATCAACCGGAACTTTTGATGCGGGTGCTAAACTCTCTCATTTCATTGCATGCAATAATCTTTCTCAACTGATTAAAGAGCCGACCAGAATAACTCAAATGCGTAGTTCTATTTTAGATTTAATCATTACTGATTTTCCAAGCCTGTTTGTTTCAAATGGCTAATTTCCCTAAGGCCACCCTCGAATTGTGATCATAATGTTGTTGTTGGTGAAATGTCTATACCTATATATAGACCTAAATGTTTCAAAAGAATTGTACGTATTTATGTTAATGTTGAGCAACATCAATTAAATTCTGCTTTAGCAAGTGCTAATTGGGAGAGCACTTTTTCTTCTATAATGGAAAATATTGATGAAATATATACGAGAGATGGTTGTCATTTCTTAATGTAGTTAAATGTTTTATTCCTAGCAAAGTTATAACGATACGCCCCAATGATAAACCTTGGATGAGCAGAACAATCCGCAGGGCTATGAGAAAACGTAATAGGCTTTTAAAAAAGTTTTCGAATTTCAAAACGTCTTTGAGGTTACATCATATGATAGATTCCTGTTTCAGAAAAATTGTCACTGCGTGCTCAATTTTTTAGTTACGTTTCTCAAATTTGGTACACGCAATAATAACTAACTGTAGAAGCTACTGTGTTAACCAAAATTCACCACCTTTTAACCTGTTAGTCGCAATGAGACATCTTTTGAAAAATAGCACCTCTTGCGCCACGAAATTTAAAGACAGACTGTTTAACTCAGGAGCTCCCAAAATATCATATTTCTCATCTCAAATGTCCAAAGAAGAAAAGTGTGTTCGCATTTTTGGAGTGCTATTGTATTCGCTTTGATATAAAGCAGACAACTTGACTTATCTTGTGCGGGTATAAGCGGTTGAAGAGATGCTTCTACATTGAAAAATAATGCACTAAATCGAAAACGCGAACACACTTTTGTTCCTTTATTATTGATTAACATTGTGGTCAAGTTTGAGACGAATCGGATAAAACGTTCTGTCGTTAACCTTCTTTTTGTCGAGGAGATTGGGTAATTTTGCTTTGTCTTCAAATGACCTTATAAGATTTGGCGAGGTTTCCACTCTTTCTGTAATTTTCTCTGCCCCCAATGTTAATCCACTTGTGGCCAAACCACAAAGTGTGAACTTTGCTGGCGTCAAATATCAAGGTGTGAAATTCACTAAAGTGTAAGTTATTGTTCAGAGGCATATATCATTGCGACAACATTAGAAAGCTTATAATATAGTATTTACAGAGTCTCGAGAAGTTCAAGCTATGCGCGATGTTGGCTTCGGTGACTTTTCTACTGCGTTTGCGTTTTGGCTTAGACCGGTTCCTTACTAATTGTATTTAACCGCAAGAGGTCAGACTGACAATTCGAGTCAATCGTAATTACAAGTTTCGCACGAAGCTATTCAGTGGTCATAGCATGTTCCCCTATGTCTCGGTCGCTTTTTAACATTTTCTTTAAAAAGTTGCTGGAATTGATAGATATATCATTACTTAATATAACTATATAAAAAAAATTTTTGGACAAAATCAGAGTCTCATCATATATTGTAACCTTAAATTGGCAGAAATATCGGGAGCAAAGGAATCCTGTTGTCAACCTTGTTCGTAATGCTAAAAAAGATCATAATAAGAAAATTAATTCTCTCTTGTCCAATCCATCAACTTCAGTTAAAAAATGGTGGAATATAATTAAATCATATTATGGTATTAAAGCTGGTATTTCAGTTCCACCGTTACAGGAGGGTGATAGTTATATTTTTTACCCTAAGGAGAAAGCTGATGTTTTTAATGACTATTTTGTACATCAAACATACTTACCCGCAAATAGAGTTCAATTACCCACTCTTATTCAACAAACAAATTCTGGTTTATCTAATATATCAGTTATTGAAGACGAAGTATTTATCTTACTTAATCAGTTAGACGTATCGAAGGCTTGCGGTGCTGATGGAGTTAGTAATCGGATGCTTAAGCTATGTATGAATGAGTTAGGCAAGCCGCTTACAAAACTTATAAATACTTCGTTTGTTCTTGGCCAGTTTCCATCAGCTTGGAAATTGGCCAATGTATTGCCTTTATATAAAAATGAAAATCGCCAATTCAAAAACAATTATCGTCCTGTTTCACTTCTTTCTTGCTTAAGTAAAATTACTGAAAGGATTGTATTTAATAGATTATACTCATATCTTGAAAGTATTAGGGGGTTTTATCGCTTTCAATCAGGTTTCCGTCCTGGCGATTCCACAGTAATGCAATTGGTTTATATTGTGCATAGAATACATGAGGCATTAGACAGGGGTAACAAAGTAAGAGCGGTCTTTTTAGATATTTCCAAAGCCTTTGACAAAGTTTGGCATGAGGGACTCCTTTTAAAATTAAAACGTTTGGGGATTGATGGCACACTGTATAAATGGTTTGAATGTTATTTGAGTGGCAGAAAACAACGTGTTGTCTTGGAAGGTACATGCTCGTCGTGGAAAGAAATTACATCAGGTGTTCCTCAGGGGTCTGTTTTGCGGCCTCTTTTATTCCTGACATACATCAATGATATCCAGGCTGATGTTTCTAGTGAATGTTTTCTATTCGCAGATGATTCTTGTTCACTTCAAGAGGTTTCATCACCAGTACAGACCGCTCAGGTTCTAAAATAATGATTTGAGTACTATTCACTCCTGGTCTGATAAATGGTTAGTAACTATGAATTCGTCTAAAACAAAAACTATGATTTTTTCTCTTAAGAAAGATAAGCCAGTTCATCCTGTTTTAAAATTAGGCGATAAGGTAATTGAGGAAGTATGTGCCCATCATCATTTGGGACTCTTGTTTTCTAACGACATGTCTTGGACTCGTCTTATTCTTAATATACGTGAAAAAGCTCTAAAAAATTGAATCTTCTCAAAGGTTTAAAATTTAAATTTTCTAGAACAACTTTGACGACTTTGTACAAGTTGTTAGTTCATTCGAACCTTGAATATGCCGATGTTGTTTGGGATGGGGGTCCACAATAAGAATCTGATTGGCTTGAATCCGTACAAACTGATGCTGGAAGGATAATAACGGGCTATGAAGGGTACACACAGGGAGAGTGTATTACAAGATATTGGTTTACATAAGCTTAGTGACAGAAGGAAAATACATAAAGTTACTTTGTTCTATAAGATTAAAAATGGATTAGTTCCTGTAATAATTTTCTTTTTAGTAACGACCAGAAGGCTTTTTTATAACAAATTTAATAAATTGTAACAACGTTTTGGAGTTTACTCCATCATCAGGTTACATTTATACGCACTCAGGCCATTTAAAGGCCCATCTACACGATGCGATTTTTGCTTATGATTGTTGTATGCAACTTGCTGACGCCATCCCTGCAACTTTGCGCTGTCTATCTAGACGTTACGATTTAGGTCTGATTATTGCATGCGATTTTTCCAACCGAGAGATATATTAGGCCTGGTGCGAGATCTTTTCAAAACAAACTGGAAATTTTTCAGAACAAACTGGAAATTTCAACCATTAACGTAAAAGCAACGGAGGCTAGTAAGCTTGCTTCACTTATAAGTATTGCGCTTATCATAAAACGAAGGAGGAAAAGGCGGAGAAGATCATTGTGGACCAGAGAATGGTTAAAGAGGAACAAACATGGTGTTTTTCATCAGTTAATGGAGCAACTACGACTCGAAGACCTAGAACATTATTGTCGATACTTGAGAATGGATACGTCAACATTTGAGGTATGTGTTTGCTGTTTAGATAGATTTATGAAGCCATGTACATGCGACTAAGTTTTCGTTGACGAATTTACTTGTTCAAGTGCAAATTGCACAAGAAATTATGAGCTAAATGTGCGAGACATTTTGATAATACGAAACAATGCAAACGTCGGTAAACAGCGCAATGTCAACGCTCACGCTTTTGTGCCCTTGCTATAATTATACACCACTATAAATTATTTTAGAATTTCGCTAAACCGTGTAGAATCTTCCACTGTTGTTAAAAACACTATTTAGTCGATTTTAGTCGTGGTAAAGCCACATTTTTGTCCAGAATTTGAATTTTATTTTAT